CCCCCCCCCCCCCCCCCGACCTACCCACCCCTTACCTTCTCCGAAACAAAACAGAAGAACGCACAGACTGAACAGCGCGGCAGACATGTTGTTTCTCCAAGGAGTCCTCACTTACAAATGAGTCCAACGCTCAGTGACAGTGAAAGTTATAGGGTCTATATATATATCTATCTATCTATCTAAATACGTGTGACTAGGAAATGCCGTCACTCCTATATTGACACAAGTTCGATCAGTCTGAAGGTTACGGGTGTATCATGGTATCAGTTCTCTCAACCTTATCAATCCGTGATCAAATACGGGAATCAATAAAATGCAATGACATATAGTTCTGGGAAGAGTAGGGATAACGTGGAAATTTTCACTTCAATGATAACAATAATTCCCCATTTTACTGACAATATATTTGCATTTTTTTTTTTTTTTTGCAATGCAATATATTTGTCATATGAAAAAGACTTACATTTCTCGATTAAAACGCTGACAATTAAAAAATATCAATAAATGAATTTTATTAATAATAACACGAGTGACTGATGTGCTTTTATGCGCCCCCCCCCCCTCCCCTTGTAATTACATTATCTCTTTATGTGGCCAAAATAAGATTCCAACTTTATCAGGCGGTCGTTTGCTTTTGGTCAGAAGTGACTTTAATCATCAAAATCAAACAAAAGGCAATTGGAAAGTTCATTCTTATGGACATTTTATTAACGTTTATCAATACAAAAACCTACTTCAATGTGTAACTCCAAATGTCAATGTATAAACTAAAGTTTATTTCTGGTTCAGTGACTAAGATACCGCCATCGAATACTTAGCCAAAAATCCTTTAATATGCTGAACTTCATAAAGAGTCGTCTAAGCCTTCTTTCAATCATGACATCGCAATTTCATAATGGTCACTAATAGGCATTAATTTGAACTTTTCAAAGTTAAGGGGCAGCTGAAATCCAATGCATCAAAGATAACCCACACAAAATACTTGTGCCACAAGCCTTCTGTTGAAAAAGCATGTACATGACTTTTGTAAGTGGACTATTTATTATAAAAAAGATGACATCATATAACAGTTGCAAATAAATATGTATTGTATGATAAATGTATTATTAAAAAGTTGAAGTACAACTTTTGCAAATTGGACCTTAAACAGCACTTAAATGATTTTTAAAATAATACAGGGTTAAAAATACTGCAGGAGACTATAAATAATTTCATAAATATAACCGATTTTCGTTCTATACATGAACAATAAGATTATTTGAGGTAAGTGTCAGCAAAGATTGATAGTCAAGTTTCGACATTAGTGTGGATTTAGGAAAGCAGATAATTCAATTTCACATCAATTATTGAGGAATCATGGAATTTTCCATTCCCTTTCAAACCAAAAGCATATTTCTTCCAAAAGTTTTTTTTTAAGACTAAGGTCTTAATCTTCTAAAAAAAAATCTACAAACAGAGAGCGATCAACCTTGTACCTTTCCCTTTCTCCAATTGCCCTCTTTACTACTCTGTGTAGTATGATCCTGCTGAATAAAGACCATCCACTGTTGTTCCAAAATCTAGAAATCTCAACTAAAAATTCAAGCAGTTTGACAGTAAATACATTACTGATTGAAATTACCCCCCTCCCCCCAAAAAAAAAAAGTCTCGAGTTGTACCAAACATTACCTAATGTCCTCAAAGACTTGATAAACAATCATTAATTCTTTGAAAAACACTTGACAAAACAAACATTTTCTTTTTTTTTAAAGCTTAATACATATCACTGATATCAGTCAGATCTAAACAAAAAATCACTGACACCATTTCCACCTTATGGTGATACTTTAACAGAAGATTTGACAGACATTGATAACACCAGCAAAGGAACTTAATAAATAAGAATGATAATATTCTCTAAGAATTCATAATAAGGATTTCTTTCACCAATGTTCACCAACAAAATACAAGGAGGCCTACGGTACAGTAATATTTTTCCTTTTGCATAGACATTCCCTAAAGCTGAACAACCTAGTATACTTAACTGGGGAAGGGGGAAGTTAAAGCCATGCCCAGTTATTGACCAAATTTATTTCTTCCTTATCTACGTAATGTTATTTTAATTGCCATGACACCGTGTATCACTCCAAAGCCATGTCCTGTAAAAGGTGACTCTTGCTTGTTTATAATACTGCTACCCAATCCACTGATTTTCTGTGGTCTTTGGTCTTATTTCTTTAAGGTCCTACAATTGGTAACCCCCATTAACTCTAAGCATAATGACACCTCATCTTAAAATAAATAATACTAAAATATAAATATTATAAATCTATTCATTTATCACATCAAAGACTCCAAGGTGGGATCAAACTTCTCTACTTGTGTGTGGTTCTATGTGGTAGAGACCTCCAACTTTACTAATATGTCTTCCAAAATCCTGTGTGTAACACGTGTACTATAAAACAAGTGAATTATAGTACCGAAACATGATGCCAAATCTAAAACCTGATATCAAGTCAGTATCAGTTCATCTGATAGGCTGACTTTAGTGTCTTTTCAACCAATGGGCACGCCTGTACTATTACTCTACTAGGCGACTACTCAGCTTTAGTCTTTCCAAGCAGACTCTTCAAAATATTATAAATATCCACAAATAACATGGTCCCAGTGAAGACCAGCACTGTCCCTACCCAGTGGTAGACTGTGAAAGGGTTTTTGAAGTACATGATAGAGAAGAGGAGACTGGTGAACTTCCGCAGAGTGACGACCAGGGTGACGGTCAGGGACTGGCACTCCGTAGTCAGAATGAACACCGCACGGATGCATATATACTTGAGATCGTTAAGGATATTCATATGAAGAAGACTGGTTAAATCTACATGAAGATACAGTTAAAGCTTTTCAACTTTTCTGCTAACTTTTTTTGATCAATCTAACTCTGCTGGGATTCTGGCTGAATTCCATTCAGTGTAAGCAGCTTATGTCTGGCATGCCTACTCAAGCTGCTAGGGGGTGATTAAATTACTCAAGGGGGTGTGTCAGACAATTTAGCCGCTTACACTGACTGCAATTTAGCGAGAATCCCTGCAGAGTTAGATCAATCCAGCTAGTACGCTGGGTTTATGTGAACACAGTCTAAAACACCAAGGCTGTCTGAGTGACCCAGCTACATGATCAGGTTCAGATGGTAAAGGCCTTTGCTAGCCAAGATGGCGTCTCTGGTTGTATATAAAACATGGACTGAATGTAAAGGATATTGTGTTAGTACGTTTAGAGCCAAGAAGAACCACATCCTTGGTATAGCTGGCAGGTAAGGAACATCTATGGGTTCTGAAAATAAAGATGTAAAAACCCATCAACAAGACATGTTTAGGTGTCTCAAAAGATCATTATAAATGTAGCTGACACTGAAATGGGAAGATGGAATCTGCACAAAACATTATAAAATGTGATAAAAAGTTTTTATGTAATTTAATACTACAAAAATAAAATGCTTTTGAGATGAATACAGTAAATAAAATTGATCCAAAATCCTAAGTTACACACAAATTCAATTGTTTTAAAACCAATATGAAGTATGTAGACCTTAGAGAACGCTTGAATATATATAAGTATAGGCTAATATTTCAATCTGTATGAATTTTTGTCCTTTGAAAAAGTAACATTGGAAAATTTCATTACTCACCAGAACCTGTGAAGAGCACAGCATGGTTATATATATCTTTGCCAAGAAGAAGAAATGCTGGTAGAGGAAGCGCATGCTGAAATAATAGGAAATGACACTGTCAAATTTACCAATCATGTACGTCATTATAAAATTTCATTTATCGTTTTGCTGAACTTTGTTAATGTGTTGGTCTATCAAATGTTACCTACGGACCCAAATACCATTTGGTACAAAAATATTAGAAATTTTTTATGCTAAATATTTTCCACAAAATTTTTTCAGAGATTGTTAGACAATCCAAAATAGTACTGTTGATGAAAAGCTGCTCTATAGCTTAACACACACAGTCTACAGCCATAGAACAAAAACAATTTCCAAGGAAAAGACAACCAGTTTCAAAATAATGTTGCATACAAACTAATGAAAATGATAATTTTCATCATTCTGATTTACTTTTTTACTTTTTTTTTTGTCAAAGGTTATTAACATTCAGAAGTGGGTCTCATGTTTTTATATTCAAGCATGTGTTAGGCCCTATTCAGAATAGGGGACCAACTAGTCCGAGGGCCAAATATGGCTGACACACTGGAATACTTCACCACGGACACCTCTATTCAGTGTGTATTAGCGGATTAGACGGCAAGCTTTGTAGTAGGTCACCATGTTTGACCCTCGGACTGGAGTTAGCCCCGTATTCTGAATGGGGCCCTACTTCCAAGATACTTGCAATACGTACATTATAGAATAAAGCTTCCTTGGGGTGTTTTCCAAACCTGGCATAAATGGTTTCCTGGTAAATGCCCATCCTGGCTGACATGAGGAGGGCAAAGGTCAGCCCACTGATGCCAATTATCCAGATGAACAGGTCGTACATGCCATCGCTGCCGTCGTCAAGGTGCTCTGATTTCTGGAGGCGATAAAACCATCACATTATAAAGTCAGGATATAATGAAATTAAATTCATCTCACAAATGAGGGATGCAAAAGGAAAGAAAAATCCTCACTTTTCTCTGAATTTACCCTCAACTACTCTCTGGACACCACAAAATTCAAAATCAATCACTGTCCATATTTTCTTTTACATTCTTTAAAGTTTGCCATGTGGAGGAATTCTCTTTCCTACCTCAGTCTTATAAAAATTAAGTTTAAATCTGAAAATAAAATCAATTCTAGTTGGTTTTGTGGTTTGTCAAGAAAAACAAAATTTTGAGCATAACCAATGTGAAGTGAGGCAAAAATGAAATCAACTCTTACCACTTTCTTGGCTGAAGCTATTGTACATATAGCTATACCAATTGTGATCATAATCACTGATAAATATTTGGATAATTTATAGCTGGAATAAACAAAACATACATTTAAATAACAAAGTTCTTCGATCACTTCTTTGTAATGCATTAGTTTTTTAATGAATGCTGAAATTCAGTTTTGGTAAAATAAATAAAATCTATGTTTTTAAGAAAACTGTTAATATGCTAAATACCAAAAGGCAAAAATCACTTGATCACATTAAAAAAAATATCAGTCGATTGATCTTTGAAATTCTGATCTTGAAATACCCACCTTTTTTTGAGAATTAAAACCCCTAAAAATAAATTTGCTATAAGACTTCCCTGGAAGTAAAAAAAGGCCATATGTGAATTTCTAGCACTCTAAAGGTGTAATAAAGCAGGGCTTAATCTAGCATGTTTTCACACTTTAATCCGTGTGGTTCAAAATTTTTGCCAAATCACTTTTTCAATGAACAACAAATTGATAGTAAAAAGTATGATAAAACAAATATCACATAATAATAAATTGAAAAGAATGAAATATTTTGGCATTTTATCATGCTAGAACAAGCCCAGATTGTTATAACAGCTATATTAAAAATAAAATTAGTATTGACTTTCTACAATTACATACAACTATATTAAATATCAGGTATTTATATATACCTAAAGTTAAATATGATATAAAAGAATAGATTAACTGATTTCAAATGTGAGTAAAATGTTTCTATTAAATATGTTAAATTTAAAAAAATTCATCTTAAAAAAATTTAAATGATCAAATATTGTTCATGCAACAATGCCAACAACAAACACAACCCCAGGTAAGCCCTTTTTTCACAGGTATCAAGCAGAGTTTTAAAAAAAAGAAGAAAAAAAAACTAGCAAACATGTGCAACCAGACTTCACTCCCACGGCAGAGACATGCCAAAAATGATATTTGTAAAAGAGCAAACAGAGACGAAGATTTGACTCCTTTCTATAAAGATCAGAAAATGGCTTCTGGGAAGTATATTCCTAGAAAATGACTATTGCTGAATATTTTTTTTATAAAGCTATTTCACACTGATAACACATTGTTAATTAACACTTGTTTTTTTTTTCTGCTACTTCTGCAACCCCAACCACTTACCGATCTGAATATCATGTGCAATGGCACAGACACATGGAACCCATAGGTCAGATTATTCACAACTTGGACCATAAAGAATATTGTCACCATAACAACATAATGTCTGCCAGCAAAGAAACAAATAATGATATTATTTTCTTATAAGCAATGCTACCAAAGACATAACTTTCACTGTCTGAACACCTCACAATGCCTGCCTAAGCTGTGCGATAGTCAAGACTGGATTGCAATGTTCAACAAGTTCACCAGATCTTTACACGCCATTTGTCAAGTACATTTTACCAAACCATCCAAAATAATGGACTAAAATTGTGCCCTAAAAATTTCAATTGCACCTAACTGGCTAGACGATTAGCAGCATGCTGTTACTGTCATAGCAAATATAAAATTATAAACAGTGGTCCAGAGGATTAAAAAAAAAAATTTAAAAAATTGAAAAAATAAAAAACCAGTTTTAGAATAAAACAGACATGGCACTTCTCTGAAGAGTTAAAAGCTCCGAGTTACAAAAAATAAAAATAAAAAATAAAAAATAAAGGCATTTTTAAAGCACATTTCAGCCACTTTGGTGAAACATGTTTGGTAATGGTGTTGGATTATGTCTGGAAGATGGCTAACTGAAGCTGAGTGTGCAGCATTTGGCATCCCATGTGAACACAGCCCCTGCTTTGAGTGGCAAAACTTACCGAACGGAAAATCATGTGTAATGGCATGGAGATGTTGAAGCCTAAGACTAGGTTATTCACAACTTGTACCACAAAGAAAATTGTCACCATGACAACATAATGTCTGCAGATATGGAAAAAATATTAGAAAATAAATAGAAAGAAAAGCATTTGTTATAAAGCAACGGAAATTAAACCATAAAAACTGAAATGTGGGGTTAATAATTCAAGTTTTCTGCAAGCCAAGAATATAAATATAGTAAGAACATTGTCTACAACATCATTTTAATAAATGTTTTTCACAAAAATGATATATTAAAATATTTTGAATGTCACAATTTGGCTAGCTTTAAATAAATCATAAAAACCATGTTATGGCATACTTAAATGATCTGGATAATTTTTTCCCCAATTCTTGTGAATAACAATTTGCTCTTGCTTTGGAAAACATACTGTTTCTCAATACAAGTGCAATGGCTTTGGATTTCGTTTATGTCTTGTAAACAGTCAAATTTTGGTGTAAGTTGTCACTACAAACAGAAGTGACTTGGACAATTTTACAAAGGTGAAATTTTCAATTGATACAAAATGTGATAAGGATAAATTTTCAGTGGTAAAAATGAACAGTAAAATATTTTTGAAACTGGAGTGTCAAATGAGATCGCCAGATTTTGTGTGAGGGTAGAAAGGGGGTGGGGTGGGGTGGAGGTGTATAGACGGACCAGTTAATAAATTTCAATGTACCCAATTCACTTCTGTAATGCTTGCAATACTACAGCAGGCAAAATAAACTGCACAACAACAACAACAGAATGGGCAACATCCAGGGACGAAAGTGACCTCTTCTTTACACTGCTCGACTCACCGATCTAATGAGAATTTGTAATGGGATGGACACTTGTAAAAAGAGCAGTACGTTTTGCAGAGCAACAGCACAAAGATACATCATGGTCAAAAAGACATAATGTCTAGGAAAAAATAGAAATACATTAATCTTTTAAAGTATTAAATCAATATAGCATTGTGATATGGTTTACTTCATCGTTTTTTTTTTCTCCACTTACATAAACAAACAGCAAATGAAAGGCATTTACAAATATCTCCGTTCTACAATTGTACTTGTACAATACAGTTGCAATAGACTTATTATGGCTACTGATGAATCAAAATGGGAGGCAGATATTAAAACAATTAAATAAAATTAAAACTCTTAACAAAATCAGCATCAAATATTTTTACTTTTATTATTTTTAGGCAATTTGTCATCAATTTGACTTAAAAATTATTGAGTAGAGTTATCTTTGCTGTTTTCAGTATTAAGATTCTTNTTAAATCAATATAGCATTGTGATATGGTTTACTTCATCGTTTTTTTTTTTTCCACTTACATAAACAAACAGCAAATGAAAGGCATTTACAAATATCTCCGTTCTACAATTGTACTTGTACAATACAGTTGCAATAGACTTATTATGGCTACTGATGAATCAAAATGGGAGGCAGATATTAAAACAATTAAATAAAATTAAAACTCTTACCAAATCAGCATCAAATATTTTTACTTTTATTATTTTTAGGCAATTTGTCATCAATTTGACTTTAAAATTATAGAGTAGAGTTTTCTTTGCTGTTTTCAGTATTAAGATTCTTTTGACAATAGCAATGTGAAATTTATAGTTAAGGATCTATAATTACACAATCCAATACTTGTATATCATAAGACAATTTTTCACTGTTAAGTTTATAACATATTTGTAAGTGCTTTTAAGGAATATTCAAACAGCCTTTAAAACTCTTCCATATAAATACTTGCCTTATAGGGACAACAGGCTTTCTTCGCCCAAAATCAGCATGAAATATAAACCCTTCCAATGCAATAAACAGAAACTGAGAAAATGTGACAATATTCCCACTGCCTGGAAACTCCCTGGAACAGAACACAACAAAAATGATGAAAATTTTCCACTGAAGCCATGTTAATTGGGCTAATACAACATGTTATATTTTATATTCCATGTCCTGAAAAAGACACTTGGTGTGCTGGCTAACACCCTGAACAAGAGTAAGGTTAGATTTGCTTGCTTGTCTACCAGTTATTGTCTGCCATAAAATTAAGTACCCATAAAAAGAAAACCAAATGCGGACTTCTGAATGGGTGAGGTAACTCAAATAATGATGCAAATCTTTACTAGCCAAGAAGCAACATACTGTGCAGAATAGTGTACATACAATGGAAGTTGAAGTGGATAGTTAAAAAGAAATGGCCAGCTTGCAGGAAATGATCTCTGTGGTTCTTCTCACATTTAGAAGTTTGTCTGTCATGGTCATTGCCCTCGCAATAGTGTGTGTATGTTTTCACTGTGCCATGACTAGTAGACAAGCAGATGGATTTCACCTTACTTATGGCTCTGTTGATATCACTAGAGAAATCAACTCCAGATGCAGGTAAATACAAAAATGGTCATTCACAGGATAATAGTCTGATTTTAAGAACTGTTGTTGATCAAATTCAACAAATGAGGATGATTCATGTCAGCTCATTGCTATATTACAAAGAACTTAGAAGAGCCACTTCCTATATCTTCTTGAGTGGTCAATATGGCGGATGACCTGACAGTTTATAAACAAATCACAGAATTTTGTCAAGTTGGATAAAAATATAACCTTGTAATAATATGTTTCGCTTTTACACCCTATTTTCTTGTAAATGACCATTTCACATGTTTTCTCACACCAAGAGTCGTTTTCTCAAGTGTACTGCACAGTGTTGCAGATATTAGTGTGACCCATGTCAGATACACGTACCTTACACAGTTGTGCTAGTAAACGAATTTTCACCTAAACTGGCTACATGCTAAATACTGGGTTTTATGTAGTCATACAAAACTAATTTTTAAAAGATGACAATCATGAATCCTATCTTAAGTAGAAATCGTGTCTACTGAAGACTTTTCATTTAAAGTCTTTCAATTTAAGTTTTGCACAACAAGTTCTCTGTAATTTATAAAAACAAAATTTATTCTTAATATTTTTCATGAATCATCCTTCAGTATACACCTTTGTAAACTAACCTGACAAGATATTCCAAGACGACTACGTTGCTACAGCAACCTAGAAAAACCGCTGCTATTGGGAATCCTGGGTGCATCTTCAAGTCTTATTTACAGTACGATAATAAATGTCAAGAAATGTTATCCATCATTATTTTCTTAACGAGCAAGCCACGAGTATCATTTCCTGTAACGCATGCGTGGAACTGTAATGAAGTCGCTCTTATGTTAATAAAAAGATGAATATTTTTTTCAAAAACAAATAAAATACAGTAAACCATATTTCATTACCAAGCTAGTATTCATAAAAATAAGTAAGTTCACTTTGCTGGGGATTCAAGTCGTAGATTTTTAAAAATACAGTAGCAAAAGTCGCTTACACCATTTGCACGAAGCAAGGAATCTTGGGTAAACACAATAACCAAGAGAAGATGGTGGCGACACAGATTGAGTTTGGTAAGTAAAGACAGTCAACTTTCTCCTCACTCAAACATTTTAAGGCAAATTTGCATTTGACATATTTATGTTCTTTCCAATTAGCGAGTCTAAAGGGGAAACGCTACAAGAAATAACGAGTGAGTTGTGTTTATCGTCACTCTCTCTCTTGCCAAAGCAAAAGGATCGACAGCGACGAAGTCTGAAGTGTGTCTCACCGGTGTTTTTACATTATAAAGCTGCGCTTTGGAGTTAACCATTGAATACCATGTGTATGTGATTTAGTGAGGTTAATTTTACATGACGCTGTAATTAATGTTATTGGTGCAAGGTTACATATTTTTAACAAATTTCCTGCAGCCTCGTTTGGTTTTTTATTTATTTTTGATAACATTTTGGAAAACAAAAAGTAACATGACATGCAATGATAGAACTTTGCACATGCATTGCCCGACAATAAAAATCAATAGAATAGCAGTTCCATACAAAAACGAACTTTATTTTGCTATAGGCCACTAAAAATATTTTCCCGGAAATTAAAGAACTAGCATTAGTAAGAACTTTGCCAAGGCAAACACATTATAGATAGTCTAAATCTGACAAGTGCAGAGATGCCAACTCAACAAATGTACATGCACTTTATTTATTTTTGAGAACAGACTTCTATTGCTTACGCGTGTTATAATTATTCTGTTGTGAATTAGACGGTAGACAGTAGATCTGTGTATATTTATTAAGCACTGTCATGGCTGCAAGGGTCTAAGGCCACATTCAGAACAGTGGACTAAGTAGTCCGAGGGACAAATAAGGCTGACCCACTTGAATACTTCCCCGTAGGGAATCTATTCAGTGTCTATTGTGTAAGGGGATTAGATGTCAAGCGTTTTTTATGTCCCTATATTTGACCCGTGGTTAGTCCACTGTCCTGAATGTGGCCTAACATATTGAGTGTCAAATGATCATTTTTTTTATTTATTTGTAGAAGACTGCAGTGGTAATCAATGGAGCCACTGGTGAAAGACATCTCTTCATGTTCCCACATTATTAAAAAATAATATTGCCTGCATTGATACTCTATGGCATAGATACTCGAGATCTTGAATTGTTACTCCCCCACTCTGTTACTTGCCCATGTAAATATAGTACTGGAAATAATGATGCAAGGGAGTAACATGTATAAAAGTAAAATTCTGTTCACAAAGATTTTTTATTGAAAAACGTAGGTTTGGTTGTGTAGGTTGTGAAAGGCTTCTAAGCAGAATCACTTGTCTTTGATGTAATGTGCATTCGCGTGTGTATTTTTTTTTTATGTGAGTGTCAATTTGTTAAGAGTCAGACAACATGCACATGATTATACATACATATACAAATGTGTCAAAGTATGTAGGTGTTATTATACTGTATCTCGTGTATTCGTAGTCTGTGAATATTAATCAGGAATAAATCATCAATTGTAGCAATACAGGCAGCAGGTCTAGCCCATATCAATCACAATACGCCTACAATGTGCATAGGTTTCAAATTTATGTCATATTGTTCTGGCAGCATAGGTACTAGTATATATCAAATTGCTGGTCTATTTTAGTTTGGGTGAATGTTTGCTTATCATGGCATGGTGTGCTCTATCTGCCAAAAATCACATTCGAGAACGCTTTACCAAAGATGTTTTTATAGTTTATGAACTTGAAGAAGTCGATCCTTATTCGTATCCTCAATTGCTCCTTGTGCAGATCATTACCCTTATTAGACCATCTGCATGGGGCAATGCAATAGAAGAGTCTAGCACGGACTATTGCAATCAAGTGTCTATCTTGCTGACTTAATTACTGGAGATATATTTATTTAATAGTTCTGAATGCAGCCTTGGTCTCTCGTCTGTTCCTATACCAGGATATATAGTCCAAATGAAGCACTTACATGCGATCTGTATATATTTGGTATTGAATGATAACATCTCTTAAAAGTGGACAGTTAAGTATATTGTGTTCTGGCCTTGGATAAGTGCTTGTTAGTTGTGGTAATTAGTGAGAAAGTGAAACAGCCTGGTGGATACTAGATCCCCCTTATGGTGATATGATCTTAAATTCAGAGCTCCTTAGATAAAGACATTTATGTTATAGTGAAATTACTCAGTTGCTAAATGTACATTAACTACTAAACAAGAACAAAACCAAAAATGATATTATGACTTATTCTTTTGTGATTCATTCTATAAAAATCGCCATGCACCTAGCAGAATATATATCTAAAATAATATAAAAATCCCTGACAGTACAACCATAATATGATTTCATACAGCAGCATTACTTGGTTAAAATGCTGTTCTGAAATACAAAATTGAAAACATTTTTGAAAGGTCTTCTGAAGTTTTTCCATGTACTAGTAGGACTTAAGTGTCACAGTTTCAATGTTATGAAAGTGTAAAGACAAATTGGTTGTCAAAACTCAGCCATAGCAAATAATTTAAAAGTGCGTACGTGTTGTAACATCTGGGGGTCTATTGCAATGATAAATGTTGTCTTATTGACCTTGCAGCATCCTGCTGCCATAAAATATATGATGAATTACATTTGGTACTGTGACAAGAGAGTACTGGAATTTTTTTCTGATCTATAGCCATTCTCCAGCTGTTTTTCTCTATCCTTTATCCTTGATAAAAAAAATGGTTATAGTTCATAAAAACTCTTTTCAAGGAGAACATAGTATGAATGTGGCAAACATCTTACAAATGAAGCTAATAAAATACTCCATCAGACAAAAATACTCTGCAATGACCCTATTTCAGTTCATATGCGTGATACTGCAAAAATAACATCATTATTCTTATTATTATCTTCTAATTGTCTGAAGTTCAGTTTGGGCTAGAAACCATTCTTTTTTGAGGTGACTGGCAAATAAGAGTGCATCTCTGGACACATGACCTAAACCATACTGTTTTGATTTTATTTGTGATAAGTGGATGGTCAGGTGTGCTTTATGTATGGTGGAAAATAAGTGCTAGTACAAGTAATTTTTTTTCCAAATGAGTCACTGTCTTATGATTAACTTCATAAATCAGAAAATTTGTTTGCTTGCTTCTACTTACAAATACAGATCCTCTGGAAAATTTAAGTATTTTTTTCTCATCTGCCTGGATTTTACATTATGTATAAGGACCCCAGGAGGATATGTGACTGAAGTCATAGTCTAAAATCAGGTAGATTAAAGCTTGATATTTCAATGTCATGTAGTTTGAGTAGATTTGCCGATACGTGTGGGTCTGAGAGTGTGACTGTGCTCTCTTTCTGGACAGGCTAGAGTGAACAATTCTACTTTTAAGGTTTAAAAAATAATCCAGGGCCTGTATCCTGTATATATATCTAGACCTGACCCTTCTACTATATAGTGTTCTGGGGTGATTTTCACATTTGAAATAACTTTAGTTCAGAAACCAGTCTAAACTTTTAGTCTGCATTGATCACAGATCAATCAGTAGTCTGATAATATATTATTCACAGCACCTGTTTTATAACAAGAAAGACATGGCTATTATTTCAGACCAAAACATACTTAAACTTAATGGTCTATTACATCTTAAACAAAAGTAGACCAAAATGTTCATCTAAATGTTTCTAAGACCAATATTTGGTTTAAAATTCTTTGGTGAAACTGCCCCTTGTTTCCAACTACATCTGCTGATGTGAATAAAATATACATGCTAACAGACAGATAGCCAAGCAGACAGACGACTCAGTTCAAGTAATCCAATCAACTCAGCCACTTGGGAGAGGGACCTACGGTAATTACTCTCTAATTTTGAACTAAATGGACAGATCCTTTCAATGTAAGAGAAACCACGTTTTATTTAATTAGTAACAGCTAAAAAAATGATTTTGGAACGTTCATGCCAGAAAGACATTATCTTGAAAAGATGCAGTATTTAAAGAAGTGAGTTCCTTTTTGAAATTTGTGAATAATTACTGTAAGCTGAAGTGAGCACAGTGTAGTATAGAGAACAGATAGTGCAGTGTTGGTAAGGATGACACACACTTCAAACATATATATATATATATAAATGATGACCTTGGGTTCAGATTGCTGATGTGAAAGATAGGAAGATATGTGGAACCTACAGTATTAACAGGGCCAACAGTGAACACCGGGTTAAGGGTAACCACTCTCTATTGTGTGATTACATCTCCTCTAGACGGACTTCTCTAACCACTCTCGGTGGCATGATAAAATCTATTCCTTGTAGAAGATACTGTGGCCATGCTAGTTAACTTATTACCACTACCAATGAAATGATTAAGGCTTCGTTCACATGCAATGTCTATTTTCTAAATTCTATTTTCTATTTGCGGCATGTCTTATGATCACGGTCTGTGCACTGAATATCCCGCGGCGTAATTACTGGCAGCGCGAGCCAGTTACTATAAGTTACTATAAGTAACTGGCTCGCGCTGCCAGTAATTATGCGGCGGGATATTCAGTGTACAGACCGTGATCATAAGATAGCGCAAATAGAAAATAGAATTTAGAAAATAGACATTGCATGTGAACGAAGCCTAAGTCATCTCCTTCTGGTAGATGTAGGGGGGGGGGGGGGGGCGTGTTCTAGCTTTATCTCCCTAATCACGCTCAGTGACATAATTAGATCATCTCTTTTTGGTAAATATCAAGGGGGGGTGGGGAGGGGGTGCTATCAAACTTCTGACCACTACCAATGACATTAGATCATCTGGGAGATGCTTGGGTATTGCTAGCTTAACTTCTTATTTATAGAGCACATTCAGAACAGTGGACTAACAGATCTGGGGATCATATATGGCCAACCCATTTGAATGCTTGTTGCTTAATCCCCACAGGGAATTTATTCAGTATCCAACCAGGAATTAAGCGACAAGCTTTTTAGTGGGTAGCTATATTTGATCTGCAGATCTGTAAGTCCACTGTTCTGTATACACTCATAGGCAATGCATGCAGCTCACTTCCACCATATGTTGATTATTGACAAAATAGATTGATTAATAGATAAGTAAATAGATGAATATCAGAATAAATAAACAATTCAATAAATCATTATAGTTAAATAAGTAAAGAAACATAGTAGTAGATAGATAAATAAATAAGCAAATCAATAAATAAATATGTATATGAAATAAAGATTTTTCAAACATTTCATTAAGTCAAAGTGTGTAAAGAGTTGCTGAAGAGATTAAATCAATGATGTTGTCATAGTCAGTCAATTTAGATGTTGGTGAATTACTAATCCCTTCTGTACTGACATAACAAACATTGTTTCATGTTATCAGTTAGTGTGTGAATGTTGTGGTGGGGAGGAAGTCTTTGGGATCTCATTAACAGGAAACATTACTTGTACCTGTTGAATCACCGCACTGTTTCATGTTTGAAAACAGTAGTGTTTTAGATAAGACAAGACATCTTCATCACGACCATGATGTACTGAGTGCTTTCCCTCCATCACTCATGCTGGAGAAGATATGGAGTGAGGAAGGAGGATGCTCTGTAAGTTTCTGACATGTTCTCATTTCGTGGTTTTATCAGAGGCAAAATTGACATTATAGGATGTGTAGGTTGCATTGTTTAATGTGGTTATCACTTAGCTGAGTCATTTTGTTTAATTCAATTTTTCGATATGTGATTATATTAGCTTTTTTTCACTGAGAAACCAGACACATCGATTTGCAGATGATGTGATCAGTTTTTACTGTGGGGCTAGGTTCACATGCACACACACACACATACACACACACACACACACACACACACACACACACATTCCACATGACTCAAACTTTAAATTCATTTTACAAATAATTAATTTATATGCATAATTTTCTTCTAAGTCAATTGTTTTTGTGTACAGTAACTAAATAGTTGTCTGCGCAGCAGACCACCTTAGTTTAGCTTCATTCTCAATACTCAGGTGGCCCGGTGCTTGGCTGAGGACCCTCTGATCAGCTGGCACATTCATGTACTAGTATAGTCAGTGATGTCAAAATTAGATGCGATAGGAGGAGCTATCTTATATTGTGGTGTACAAACCAATTACAATGTCTGAGTATGAGGTGATACCATCTACACTGCTCTTTATTTCTAGTGGTTGGATATTTTACAGATAATCTATTCAGAGCAATTTTTGTGGAGCTTCAGCAGCCAGGACTTTAACACAGGTAAAGTCATTGTCTCTTTTGGGGCATACTGTAAGTGCTTGTGTACTAATGAGTATGTTTTTATAGTTTAAGTCTGCTTGTACAAGTGTTTGAATGTGTGTGTCTGTGTACGATTGTCTTCGTGTGTGTGTGTGTGTATGCGCACGCGCGCACGTGTCTGTGTTGTAAATTATTATTCAAATAAGACTATCTTGGACAATTTCCTCATTTAAAAGATGTAATTTTAATACAAAATGGTCTCTTCTGTCAGTTGACAAGTTCTAGACATGCATTTGTGCACAGTTTGTGTAAACCAGTATAACAGTGGCTGACCCGTGACTCCTCTTTGACTTATTCACAGTCATCTTTGGTAATCGCCCCGAGTTTCACAGCGCTGATTGTGCCACATGCTGTATTAAATGACAGCCTACTAGTATGTAAGCAACAAGTGTGTGAGCTACAGGGTGACATGTTCCTGTCAGGTCAGGTCTGTGGCCAGGGCTTGGGGAAGGGGGGGGTTGGTGGTGGAGGTGGGGGGGGGGGGTTGAATAAATTCTTTTCTGCTGGGAAAAAGTTTGCTCTGGTAAAATATTGATCTAGGTACGCAAAGGTATTATGGCAAAAAGTCCACTTTTTTAGAAAAAGAACCCATCCCCCTTCCTTTTGAAATTGCAGGCTACGGGCCTACAGGTTTTCTTGTTGCCCGCATAAGGCGGGTTGTTGGGAAAATTATGATGAAATGATGAATATGTGAAGTATTGTTACATTGATGTATGTATGACTTTGATATTAGTTATGACAGTAATTTTAAGATACCATTTGGTGTAACATTTTTTTTTCTCTTTTGTGGTATATAAAGAGACATGACTAAGATCTCTAGAAATAAAAATAATCTTACAGATGGGAATAATACTGCAGAGGGTCACTGCAAGTATTCCCTAACATGTGTTAACATGCAATTTCGACCTGATCCTTACGTGAAAGAACAAATACTAACATGCATTACGTGATCAAAACGTCAAAGATTCAACAGCAAGCATAAGTCACACAGCAGAGCATGTGGAGAACTTAAGCAATGATTGTACAGCATGCTTTTTTGGGGAAAGCTACAAGTTAGAGTGTTACTAATCCATTTGATGGGAAGAATATATATACATGTAACAGGGGGAAGGAGACAGTTGTAGCTGTAAATAAAGTAGGATGGAGGAATGAGGCATTTTTTTAATGGAATAAGATGTAATCAGCCAAGACAGAACTCTAGTATTTTATAGATTTATTAATCTGTTAAGATGCATTGCTTTGTATTCTATACAGTGTAGCACTATATAACAAGGAAAGTAATAATAAGGATAGAATCTTAGCTATGAGAATGGTGGTTGGTAAAGGTAGGGGTGGGGTAGATCATGGGTGGTTTTTTTGGGGGGGTGGAGGGGGGTTGCAACTGACTGAAAGAGGTTGCATTGTGCAGTTTTTAAGTCCAACAGTGCTTACTAGTACTTGAGGGTTTATTTCTACCAATAGGAGTGTGTTTCAAACTAATATATATTCTGATCAGCACTGCAGTATTGGCATTGGGCCTGATTTTTTCGAAAGAAACAAAAAAGTATTGATGACCGGGTGTGAGAATTCTGGGGACATCGGTTGAGTTGAGTGTTTTTCAGGAAACAAAGACGAGACAAAAGTTTGCTTATTGGATTCTGGACCAGAAATCGATGATAGTTGGATTATTTACTGTTCATTTGTGTGCCAGTGCAGTGTTTGTCCAAGCCCTACTAACACCTGATCATTCTGCTCGGATCAATAGGCTGCAGCCATCTTGTTTTCTCTGGTAATACACTGAGGATAATGGGGGTTTGTGTAGGATAAACAAGTTCAGGTCGTGGAACAAGTGTTCCCGGGACTAGGGGGGCTTTGTGCACTGAACTGCAGGGCCTTGACTTTCTTAACTCTGGTTTAGAAGCCAAGAAGTTTGCCAGTTGTATTTTTACTGGATTCACATGTAGATTGCTTATTACTTTGCTCTAGCAGATGCTAAGAGACCTTGTATTGAGGCGTAACAATAGATATTTCACACTTAAAAAAGAAGAAAAAAAAATAACCCATTTTGTAATAGTTTCATTCATTTCATTTGTAAATCTTCGTGATCAGGTCACTTTTTGCAAACTTTCCAAACACAATATTAGGTGGAGCACCACTAGGCTCACACCTGTTTTGTTCAATACTTCTGTGCTCTCTTTTTCATCATGCATATTTTTCTTCATGTTCTATTTGCTGTTATGTGTAACTTAATACATAAACTCCTTATTATTGTATTTTTACATATTGAATATTTATTTGGTTAAGTAGTTAGTAAATAATGCAATTGAGTGTCGCCTCTTAGCAATCAGTTTAGCAAGATATATTAGGAAAATACAATGTATAGAGCTGGCATACTAGTACTTTAAGGCATGGCTTATGCAAGCTTCCACATGGGTTGTCTTCCACTGGCTTGAGGCTGAGTCTGACGTTATGTGAATGTTTGTACAGACACATCAGCCTTTTTTCGTAGTCAGTGAAATTAGAAATCAGCCAGTGTTCCGACAGATGTGACCTTCTTAGGACTGTTTGTTGATAACAGTATCAGAGCTTCTCTTTCAGGACACCTAATGGAGCATGTGCACTTTCTGCAGGCAGTTTGGCAAAGGCATGGATTTTGGTGGTGGTGGTGGGGGGGGGGGGTGTCTCTCTCTTACTCTCACTCTCTCTCTCTCTTCGCACAAGGATGCATGTGTGTGTATGCATGAGAAGATGCATGTGCAAATATGTGAATGAGTGTATGTGTAGATGAGTGAAAGCGTGTGCATGTATTTTTTGGAGGACACGAGGACGGGGGATAAGGGGGGGGGGGGCAAGTGTCACCCCACCTTGTTATTCTGACTCTTCTAGTGAGACATTTTACCCCAGTGCCATCATTCTTACCCATGTGTCATCATTCTCACGTCTGATAGCATGGTGTGTTAAATGAAGGCAAGCTCCAATATCGTGGCACAAGTGTTTGTGTTCAGTAAAGTTGGAGTGATCTATTGCTGAGCACATATCAGGTTATAAAACACTGCAGTATAGAAGACTAGTGTACTGTCAGTTGTAGACAAATGTCTGCATCCAGGATACCTGTATTGATCTTGTTTGGATTCTGAAAGCTTTTTCACATGCATTCTTAATATGCAGGCATGGTGATGATCATTTTGCCAGAACAAAAACCAGTCTTGGAGTAGCATCTTTAATCTCTTATATGCACTGAAACAGACTTCCTTGATTTTTATTTTTCCTGAAAAGGAAAAATGTCATCGTGTAGATTGATTTATTGCGGATGGATATGTTTTTGTTAATCATCCGAGATAGCCTTCAGTCATGTGTCTTAGTATTTAATTTAATCAAACAAGATTTTGCAGGATTTGGAGGAAATCGGGAATAATGGCAGGATCTCAAGTGTAGTGCAGAAATGAATAAAAGACAGTTTATCCATGGATATTTTTATTTTTGTTTTCTCAAAAGGTCTTTATAGTAACATTCTCTTGCACAACAGATAGAATTCCATGTATATTACTTATCACTTCTGTATATTGCTTACTATAGGCTCATTCCCAACGATAGTTCGTTCTCTGTAAAGCCTGCTTTTGAGGCCCGTTTCCAGTGGAGATGGATAGGCGTTACTTACTACACCTGCATTTAGACACAGACACAGGGTTAAGTCAGCCCAAGTTGGTTGTAAACAGGTCTGCTTATAGCATTGATGGAAGGGCAATACAAACCAAGACTGGGTTCCCATACCTAGATCGATCCAACAGGATCAGGATCTGCAAGGGGTTTCTCGCTAAATTGCATTCAGCTTCAACGGCTTAGATGTCTGGCATGCCTACTAAAGCTGCTAAACGATAGTTAATTACCTTCTATCAGCTTCAGTAGGCGTGACAGACATCTAAGCTGCTTACTAGAAAGTTAATTGCAATTTAGCGAGAATCCCCTAGGAGATGGATAGATCAATCCTGTTAGATCGATCTAGGTATGGGAACTGAGTCTTGGTCTGTATTGCCCTTCCTTGATCTCCAAGTGTCCAGCCCCAAGCACTTGTATCTTCAGTGCTGTGAGTCCTGTGTAATGTGAAGAGCGTGTTGAGTGGGATGACGTAAACCTGAGCCCAGTTGGTAAGGGAAACACTGGAGGTGGTCAGACCTATCAGCAAGGCCATTGATTAATTCTTTCTATGGTAATTTCTCTAAATGTTTGAACAAAGTTGGGTAGTTGTAGGTTTTGTAATGTTTAGTAAGTAATTGGTACAGGAAAAAATGGAAATCAAATAGTTTACGATTTGTGAAAAACAAGATGCATTCATGCCAAAAGAAATTGTTTGAATATTTGGGGGGGAAATGATATAGGAAAAAAGAGATATGTTGGGAAATTGTTAATAATTACCACATTGATGACATAAGAACAAGATAAAGGATGTCTATCCTGGAGCAATGCATCTGATGAAGGAAAGTAAGTGAGAACAGTGTCATGCTTGGAGAAAGTATGGGGTTGAACATAGTCAGTGTGGGCAAGAATTCTGGTAGTTTTACCAACATTGCAGCGCTCTAGACATACACTAGGGGAGAAAACGTGCTTTATCATGCTTGCAAAATAGACATTAAGCGAATGGTTACAGATGTTGTTGCATGACATTGTTCAAATTGAAACCTGGAGATTTTATAACCCCCCCAGGAGGCTTTTACGTAGAAGATATTGTAAACTGTAATGAGAGAGAAGGCTCTGTTTCTTGGAATTCGTACTGGGGATTTTTCTTCCCTTGTTGGCTGATAAGTTAAGGTAATGTGATATTTGTCATAACAAGTGGGATTTTTGCACCTATCTATAGGTTTGATGTGTCAGTAACATCATGATGTGAGTATATCATGTAGATGTTCAGTTGTGTGGTTATTTCTTTGCCTGTTTGACTTTAGAACTAAGTATCAATTTTTGTCATTTTACTTGTGAAGTTTGTG